GACTTGTTGGCCTCTAGTGTTGTTGGCCACATCCCTGTTGAATTCCTAATGAAGGCTCTCTGGTTGATCTTCTTCTGTTTCAGGCATTCCAGGATCCATCTGAATCCTGGAATCATCGTCTTTCTTGAAGTCGATCCAGGCGGTGCACAGGTTGGTCATTCTGGTTTTACAGTCTCAAGTGACTGCTCCGTCAACAAGGTGTTTTGCCCCTCTGGTGTCTCTGCCTTTTTCCTTCTATGTGCCTGTTCATTTTCGCCCTATTACAGGACAGGAGCTTCCATGTTTTATTGAGGCAGATTATTGGTTAGTAGTTGGTCCTTTCTGAGGATCCTTGGGGATCAGGACCGTCCAGCTTTGGATTAGCCATTCTGGGTTCGTCTCATCCACTAGAAGCTGGTTAACTTTTGCTAATTAAGAGAGTTATTACTACATGGAAGAGGTCACACTCAAATTTGTATTTAATTACTTAGAATTACTATGCATTATTATGACCATGTGATTAAAATAAATGTAATGAATCCAAATTAAAAAATGGTTTTCCTCAGACTCTAGCGAAACAGAAACTGGGATGACCTGGTGGAAACAGCGAAGAATCCCAAAGTGCAAAATAAAGGGCAGATTTGCAGGGACTAATATTTAAGGTTCTTTTATCTGATAAAAGTGTGGTAATTGCTTGTGGTCCATAAACTTGTGATGATACATAATTACTTGGCTGCCAACTGAGAGTAGAAGAGCAAGTACAAGACCACCCTGCATTCTGGTATTGTGTGCATAGTGGTGGTTTTTGACTCTGTTTTAGATTGAAAACTATCTTCAGTATCAGAAAGACTGTGGTGTGGTGTAATGTGTACTTAAATTTCACGTTTAGGGTTCAAATCGATCACTTCACTTGGAGAAATAAAAATCCTACACATGTTGGACGTATCTGTATTCTAAATATTAGGTGATGGCATGTCATCTTTGCCCTCTATGAAATCTACAGCTAATGGTTTCTTATTGTCTTAAAAAATAAATTCCCGAATCACATACAGCGGGGTTCTTAACAAGTATGTGAATCATTCAGGCCCCACACAGGATATATTTATTTTGACATCCATGTTAAAATTTCAGTTACATTATAGATACTTATTTTAATGTAACACTGTGGAGATTAGTTTTGAGTTTTATAGATTTATAGAAAAATTGATCATGGTCTTGTGATCATATGATCTCTTTAATAAACTGGACCAGAAACGTAAAATTAAAAAGTGATTAAAATATGTTGTGTTTGTTTTTAAGAAGTTCATTCTGCGTGCTGCACTGTATAAGAACCACTTCTTCATTTCAGTGTGGGAGTCTGTTTACGCTTACTGAGCGTGTACAGCAGGAAGGAAGACAGTTTAATATGACTTTAATATTTTCCAACCACAGAAGAGATCTCATCTCACCTCAGCGTCTCATGAAGACTAACTAGTGAACAGGATTTTTCATGTTGAAGTGATTTAAGGAATGAGAGGAGCAGCTATGAGTTTAAGTGCAGCAGCCAGTGGATTTGTTCTCTTCCTTCTCTCTTTATCAGGTATTGGGAACCTCTATATTTGATTTATACCTACGGTTACACTGTCGACACCAGAGCTGTTTCTGGCTGTCACACATTCAGCAACTGCATTACTTTTATGAATTATAACTGTAAACAGAAGAGATTTATTTTTTTTGCCTTCTTTTTTTAAGTAAAAAAATACAAATGTTGTGTAATGTGTTGTAAACACTACAGATATTATTTTTTTCCATAAATATACACTGTTAGAAAAAGGCCATTGTATTTGTATTTAACTTTCTAAAATGTTTATTTTGCTATAGTACTTATTTAAACAATTTAGATTATTTCTAGTTTATTAAACATTGAATTTATGAGAGAAATCTTCTAAGGACTAATAAACATTCTCACATATACCTCATATGAATACATTTATATTATACCCTGTTATCGAGCACTATACCTGGTCTCAACCAATTAGGTGATTAGAAGAAAATGACTCTAAAACTATTTCTTGATTGTTACGGTCAACAACAAAAGAATCAAAACTTCAGTTTTTCTATTGTGATGAAGAGTGCTTGGTCTAAATCCCATCAGAATTTCTCTCTGCATATAGTTTAACTACAAATAAGACTGTTTATGGTTGTTATCATTAATCTAACTGCATTCTGATGTGTTCTGTGTTACAGTGGTACAGAGTCAGAATGATTATGCAGTGACTTACACTTCTACTCAGATCTGTGCTGTAAAAGGATCAACAGTGGTCATAGGCTGCTCCTTCAAACACTCATTAAATTTGGCAAAAAAGATTTGGTTCACTAAAGGGAATGATAATAACCCTGAAGATCTGAAAACAGACTCAGTGTATGCAGGTCGAGTGTCGTACAGTTCTCAATGGTACAGCTGCACTCTGACAATCAGAGACCTGAGAGAGAGCGACTCAGCTGTGTACAAGTTCAGGTTTGAAGCAAACCAGAAAAGTTTTACTGGTTTACCTGGAGTCACTCTGACTGTCACAGGTACTGATCTACACACACTGATAAATATTTAATCAACTTAATATGCATGTTCTACTGTGCTTCTAAACTTTTCAATGGTTTAATGTATAGACATTGAGAGAATTATTATTTTGTTACTAATTCATTTTATTACTTCTGTGAATTTTACTGATGTCTCCCTCAGTGTGAGAGTGACTGACATCTTATTTATTGTTTCTTGTCCACTGGTCAAGATGTTCAGGTTAGAGTGTCGACTGGACGACAGTTGGATTGTGTCACCAGCTGTAATCCTATTGTTTCATCTTATGTCTGGTACAAAAATGAACAACAAGTGAATGGAGCCAGCTCTTCTTCTTATGAAGCGAAATATGACACTGAAAACAGCTACTCATGTGCTTTAAAAGGATTTGAGGATTTTCACTCTCCATTAGTTTGTGAGTTCACTTTGAGATTTTACCTGAATGAAAACTTTTAATATGGAGGCTCATTAATGGTGTGTTCTTTCTGTCAATAAGCATGTTTTTTTTTATCTCTTAGGTGCCAAAAAACAGTGGTGCAACAGAGTGAATTACAGTAACAGAAGAATCTGTGCATTCAAAGGCTCATCAGTGGACATTTCTTGTACTTACAACAATTTTGAACGTCAAATCCAATCAAAGTCCTGGTTCCGTTCTGGTCGTGGATCTGAGGACCTCAGAAAAGACTCCCAGTATGCAGGTCGTGTTCAGGTGATTGAAAGAGAGAGAGGACGCTCCACTCTGAGAATCAGAGACCTGACAGAAAGTGATTCAGCCGAGTATCACTTCAAATTCAAAACACAAAGATTTGAATGGAGGAGTAGTTTACCTGGAACAACTCTGACTTTCACAGGTACTGATGAATACACACAGAATATTTCATTCAGTTAAGTCATTAAGTTAATAATGTGACTATTTTTGTTATTTCACACAGTTCTGCAGGTGAAGGTGAGCAGAATAATATCAGTCCATGAGTCTCAGACTGAGGCAGAGCTGAAGTGTGAAAGCAGCTGCAGTCCAGCTGGTCGTCTTTCTTTTGTCTGGTTCAAAAACAATCATTTTATGGTTGAACGAAGTTCTTATCAAGATCTGTTCAATCCTGGAGACATCATCTCCTGTGCTTTCAAAGGACATGAAGATTATCGCTCAGATCCTGTGTGTAAGTTTACTTTACTCTGTTATTGATGATCATGATTTTCAGCTCCTCAGCTTTCTTTGTTCACCAAAATGTTGTTTAAGATATTAAGTAGAATTCACAATACTGTACATACAGTTTAAAGGTGAGTTGAGTCAGGTTCATGAATTAGAGGTAAGCACTCAGTTAAAGTCAGAAAAGAACAGTCATTGTGCTGAAGAGTGGTTTGATCCTGATCAGAGAACATCAAAGTTCTTTTCATTTTGGAAGGTACAAGCACATGTACATTTAATCGTGATTATTTACTTTAGAGGAACTAATTAGCAATCTAATAAGCAGGGATCTTCTGACTGTCTACAAAGGTCTGTCCATGGACTGTCATGTGTACATCCAATTTATGGAACAACTGACAAATCCAGCAAACATGGTCTGTTCATGCAAAGCATGAATCTGCTATACTGAAGATAACTAGGGTCACCATATTTTGATTTTCAAAAAAGAGGACACCTGGCCCAGTCATGAGGAACTTTAATAATACTGTTTGCTTAAAGAAAACATATTTAAACAATGCCTTCTCTGTGCGGTTAATGAATGGCAAAATTAAAAATGTCATATTGGCTTTTACAAGTCAACAAGTGCAAAAAAAGAGGACGGTTGGTCACCCTAAAGATAACAGATGTGACCAAAAATTACAGGCTTGTGTTTCCCCATACTTGCGGATGTGACAGACTGAAATGAAAGTGAGGGAAATTTCTTGACCACCACTTTAGATAATAGAGATAATTTGCACACACAATTATAACATAACAATAACGATAAAAGTAAATGTATTTTTTCTGTTCTAGACATTCCAGAGGTTCCCACTGTGTCAGTGAGTCCCTCTGGTGAGATAGTGGAGGGAAGTTCAGTGACTCTGACCTGTAGCAGTGATGCTAACCCAGCAGCTAAATATACCTGGTACAAGGAACAACAACCAATCAGCCAAGAAAAGCAAATCACCTTCAGGTCCACCCGGTCTTCTGACTCTGGAGAGTATTACTGTACCGCTGAGAATGAGGTGGGGCGAAGGTCATCTGAAGTCATCTCTATCAAAGTGAAATGTGAGTCAAGACAGTTTCCTTATAATGCCACACAGAAACAGGGGTTTAAACTCTGAAATCGTCACAGGTGGAGAAAACTGTCAATCAACTGTACAATCTGCGATGTCGGGAATAGATATTTAAACTTAAAGAATAGGATGGTGTACAATTTCTTCACAATTATTATGTTGAACACTAAATTTGAATGTAAATTTGCTGCAATTTTTGTCATAATTATTTCCACATCCCTTCCAGATGCTCCAAAGCTTCCCTCTGTGTCAGTGAGTCCCTCTGCTGAGATAATGGAGGGTAATTCAGTCACTCCGTCTGGTGAGATTGGTGACGACAGTCCAGTGACTCTGACCTGTAGCACAGTCAGTTTTTCTCCTGACATTAGGAACAATCAAGGTAGTGACACAATGGAGTTGTTAAAAAAATGGCTTGATTGATTGTAGTTTTAGTATTTTTAGTTTTTAACTGTTGTATGCCGTTAGGCAAGAACTATACTCAAAATGAGTCATTAATTAAGACTTTGGTCTGATATGTTTTATGTTTTATATCCATTCTTATTGGACCATTAATCTTGTAATCCAGTAACAAGTTTTCAGTTTGGTCACTGTTTCCTAGACTCATGGAAAAAAACAGCTGCAGTTGCATCAATCACTGTTCTATTTCTGGCTGTTATAATCATCTGTGGAATCATATTCATTAGGTGAGCAGTTCAGTTTTATTGTTGTTATTAAAAATTTATTTAGTAATTTCATGTTATGATTAATTAAAATGTTCATTTGTTCTTCTGTACAGAAGAAAAGGGTGCTTCAAAACAAATTCATCCAGACAGAGGCCAGACAACAAACCAGAGGTAAGCAAGAAGCGGTCAGGTATCAGGTATACATATATGAACCTGAAAAAGACCATGTTAATGTAAATGAATCTCTTTGTATATGTCGCATACTGCTGTCATACACTGCACAGTGGGAAGTTTAAATTTGGCTGCTATAGTACAGACGTTTGATGACTTTGTATAGTTTACATGCTTCAAACTTCATGTCCCACCCAGGTTTATGAGATCCACACTGCACAGTGTGGATCTAATGATTGATTTCTAATACTGCACAGTGTGTGGGTACCTTAAGTTCTCTCATATATGAAAATGTACATGAACAGTTCATAAAATGTAAAGTCTACTGTTTTTCTTGAGAGTGTGATTAATTGTAATTAACTTTCATGTGTTGAGAAAATGACATCTTTCTGTTTAATAGTGTTGTTGGTGGCATTGCTCTTCCTTTGCTGCATATAAACCTCTCCAGGAATACATAGAAATACAAGGTTTGGGAGGCTGTGGCTCAGGAGGTAAGGGAAAGGGGGATGTCCAACCATAACCTTTCACCTTTTTATGGTTATTTTTAATTACAGGAAAATGCATATTGTTATTACACACTTAACGCTCCGCAAAGTGGACGTCCAAAGCGTGACGGCCCTTCAGCTCCAGCACAGAGTAGAGCAGCAGAGGAGCAGCAGGATGATCTTTGCTATTCCAGTGTAACTTTCATAAAGAAGCCAGAAGAGCACGACTACTACAACATTCTTCCCATTAAGACCAAAAGACGAAAAGAACAGGATGAAGAAGTAACAGATGTGGACTACACTGTGGTCAGATTAAACAGCACCCAAAGGTGAGGACACTTATTTTCTGTGGGAATGTTTCCATAATTTCTTTGTTTTGATTTTGTAAATGCATTATTTATTTAGTTTTGGTGTAACTTTGGTCTAACTTAAGAAAAGAAAACACTTAATGTTACTGATATTGTGATTTTTATTGACATCATGTTTACCTTTACAGGTTAAGAGATCAACAGGCTGCAGAGTATTCATCAGCACTGTACAGCACAGTCAGGAAAAAGTAGAGTATGAACATGAATGTGTGTCCTCAGTGTACATATTTAATGTTTTTAGGAAGATACTGCTGTTTATGGCTGTGTTTGCATTTTGATAAAGAATGATGCAACAGATGAATCAAAATGTGTCCTTGGACAGTGGACTTCCTGTCCCTGTCTATACGTGTATCTAGTTTCTTGAAGACCTGAACAAGAGGAACATTACAGAATTTATTGAGGCGATCTTGGAAAAGCAAAATGTGTTGCACCACAAATGCACTCTGATCAGAGTTCTGATGGCAACAGCTGCCAGACAGGATTAAATTTTAAAAAAAAAAAGAGTCTACCTTTACTGAAATAAAATCTTACTACAGCTAACAAGAAGCCCAAGACCTCTCTAGGCAGTAGGCACTATTGGGGGAATTGTATTGTACTTTGTTTATGTTAATTTTGTTTTCTTTGTTCTTTTTAAGGGTACTTTAAGTTTGTAGTACACTCAAACAAGTGTAAATATAATTTGTCCTGCTGAAACCCATTTTAATGTACTTAACATAATTGTGAGTAGAATTATTTTTTATTTGTGTGGATATGGGATATAGGAGTCTTTGCAGAACAGCAGGAGGTAGGTCTGATTAATCTTAAAGTCCTGGTGCTTTGACCGTTTACTTTTATTTTCAGTGCCCTGCTGAACTGCGCT